GGGGGGGGGGGGGGGGGGGGGTTTGACAAGTAGTGTATGTGAGGCAAACTTTTTTGTGTGCCTTCTTTTACACGGTATAGTTAAGTACCCAACTGCAACCTATAAAAAGAGAAAGGAAGCAACTTTACTTTTCCCTAAAATAAAGAAAGAGAAAAAGAAGGAAGTTAGTATTGGATCTATTCTAATGAAAATAAGGAATCAAATGGCCTTCATCCGTCACCGGAGGAAATGATTTGTTGGAAGCACATTAGAAAAGCCTCTTGTTACCTCCTCTTTTGTTGGAGAATCAATATGCAAAGAAACTTTTGCCATACTAATCCTACTTTGGAGTTTGAACGTTTTACTGGGTCATGGTCTTCGTATTGATTACAGGGTTGGACCATTTTGTGGGATTGCGATTAACTCATTAGAATCATTAGTCAACTTAAAATTGTATGATTTTGGGACATGTATTCTACAAGGATGCAATCTGTTTGGTTAGTGTAATATTTTTGTACCATCGAGTTGCATTATTCTAATCAAGATCCTAACAACCATAGTTGAAGGTGGATAAATTATTATAATAGATGATCAATAGTTGTGAAGTCTTGTGATGAAATATTGACTCTGTTTGCTGAACTAGCATCACATCCACTGAAGTTCTTGGAATGGAGAAAAAATGGTAAATCAATGTGACTGATTCGCTGGGCTTGGCTGGTGGACTAGATAGAGACGAGAAAATGAAAGGACATTTTAAAAAGTTTGAATGCAATGTGAGGCTCATGCTTCTTTCTATGTCCATAGAAAGCATGGAATGCCCTACCAGGCTAGTCAAGTTTCACCGAAAATTATAGCGATCGATGGCAAAGCTACTTCAATAGCTTTGGGCTAGTTGAGTAAGTGATAGCTCACGGAAATACTATTGAAAGTGGGACTTTAGGATATTCATACCCTAGATATATATAGAGGTGGTTGTGGGGGAACTTCAACTTGTTTTGGTTTTATACCTCGCTCAGTCAATCGCATGGCGAATCTTAATAACATAGTCACTCCTTAGTAACTTGTGGCTACTTCTCTTTGGCTCATCCACATATCTAAAGGCTTCATCACTTGACTTGTTCTTGTTCAGTAGCGGTTTCTTCATTCATTAGATAGTAGGTAACTCGTGTGTTTCCTTGTTATCCTAGTTAAAGTGACTACATGAGGTAGGTCTAATATTTTCCAGTATGGTATTACTTCAAATGTTTCTGCACTTGATTTTTTTGTAAAAATTGTTCTTCTTAATAGATTCCTAGTTCTCTCGTTCTTCAAAACTTTTAGCAATAGACTGTGTGGAGAGATGGTTGACTATGCCCTATTATGTTTGTTCATCTAGGCATGCCTGAGCTTTTTGTATCATTCAAGAGTGTTGAATTTTGATGTTTTCTGCTTGAACCAATTTTTCTCTTCTATTATTTGATTATAATGCTACACGAAGGATTAACTTTAAGCTATCATGTTGTTTGGGTTAGATAATTGTTTGCAATTGGGTTCTCAAATATGCTTACACGGAAAAAAGAAGTTACCTGGCAAGAGGATAACTGGATTTCAGGTAAACATCCCTTATGCTGTGTTTTCTATTTGAGCAGCATGTGAATACTTTATTTCTTTGGTTGCCTTCATGCACTTATTATTTTTGTATTTTCTCACTGTTCAGTTTTGCCCGAATGATTTGACCAAAGTAATAGTAACCTCGGCTGATTCACAAGTTCGAGTACTATCTGGGGCTAATGTCATCTGCAAATTTAAGGGTATGTATTGATTTCTTCGTCATTTGGTATTCTTATGTTGTTATTGTCATCCAAGCGCAAGGATGTGCATCAATTTGTTTGTTCTCTGTTGTTGTTGTTGTCTGTGAGACCCTTTAATATCAGAGGATAGGTTTTCTATTGTCTGTGCTTTGGAGCCGAGATGCCTTTATTTTGATGTTAAGTAGTTTCTCTATCTACTTTTAGGCAATCAGAATTCAGGAAGCCAGGCATCTGCCTCGTTCACCTCAGATGGGAAACACATTGTCTCAGCTACTGAGGATTCAAATATCTGTATGTGGAACTACCTTAGTCAGGACCGGATATCTTCTAAAGCAAAGAAGATCAAGTCTTGTGAGAGTTTCTTGTCCCACAATGCTTCAATTGCTATACCTTGGTGTGGCATGTCGATTGTATCAAGAACATCATCCGGGGATGATCTTCCAGGTTGTGTCTTGGCGAATCAGCGCTTTGGCGAGGATCTACATCGCAAAATGCCTTTATCTTCTCCTGATTGTTTCTCTTTAAGCCGTGGGTTTTTGTTGGAGGCCTTGCATAAGGGATCTGCCACTTGGCCAGAGGAGAAACTACCTAATTCTAGTCCATTGGCTATTTCACCTTCATTTTATAAGTCCGGGTACAAGTTTTTGAAGAGTGCCTACCAGAGCACATTTAGTTCTCCTCATCTGTGGGGTCTTGTGGTTGTCACTGCAGGTTGGGATGGACGGATCAGAACGTACCTCAATTATGGGTTACCTATGCGCCTCTGAAACCTCGTGGTCCAGCCGAAAGCATCAAGGATTGGAATTCAGTTGGTTCAATACATATACAGATGAATGTGCAGTGCAAATATAGATGTCAGTCGAGACAAAAATAGTACGTCCGTGTGGACCCTTTTATAGATTATAAGGTGAATGATAATTAAATTAGGCTATATGCAAAAAGGCGACGCTGACGGTAAGGCCAACAAAGGGGCTGGAATTCTTTCTGTAATGAAATATTGAGCTTATGGCCAGCTACGTAATTCTTTGATTTGTTTGGATGACAGGTTCAGGGCTGGTGGTACAGAAGCTTATAGAGCGCATGTGCCAATGGGCCCGTTTATGTATCTAAATGATTTATTGAATGAATATATTTTGTAACTGACCAAAAAAAAAAAAAACTGAATATATTTTGTATAGTTGCGAAATCTTGAAATAACTTGGGGCTTGTTTGGCTGGTCATTTGGGGAGGGTTTGGATTGGCTTTCTTAAATTTTTTCAAACTCAAATCTCTTTTTGTAAATATTAGATCCAACATTAAATTCGGTTTATACCTATGTTTGGCATGTCACGCATACACATGTAAAATTCACGAATATATCATAATTATTAATAATTATTTGTCTTGTAAATAATTATTTTATTCTTAATCAATCAAATTTATATTCATATTAAGGGGTATAATTACTTTTTGCATCTTAAGCCTTTTTAATCCATCTTTCCAAACCCACCTCCCTTTAGATTTGATGAAATTTATAATTATGAGATTAATATTCGAGTCAGTTGCGGGTCGAATTTAGGAACTCAAAATTGAATTTTTAATCTAAATATCAAATTTGAGGATCTTTTAAATTATTTTTTCTAAATCTATCTTACCAAGCTTCTCATATCCGCTTACCAAATAGTACCTTATATATATGCAAGAGCATTGCTCTTGTCAAACGACTTGAATTGTCGTGGTTATGGCTCTATGGTAATTCAGCATAAAAAGGTACTATTAAGAGCATCTCCAACAATAAATTGTATTTTAACTATCTAAAAAATAATTTTTTCTATTTTAACTACTCACTTTTTCGATATACATTCTAATAGATTATTTATATTTTTAATTATTTTTTTTAAATATTATTTCTTAATCTTTTTATATTATTTTTTTTAGAAATAATGAACGATAGAAAGAGAGAGAATAAAAGAATGGAGAAGAAAAAAAAAGTAATAATATTAATATGTTCACAAGTTGATACTCTAAATCTATTTTAAAGTATTTGAAGAGGAGTATAATTTTATGCCTTGATTAACTAAATTTTAGTTTAGTTGTGCTTTACAGCATCGCTCGGAGATGCTCCGACACTTGTCCTTCGGTCTTATTGTCTGACACCGTCCCTCACAATTTGGGGCATGTTTAAAGTATAAGGCGGTATCCATAGGATTTAATTCGCATATTCCATCATATCTTTTCTTATATTTATTGCAAACCATGAGTCTTGGACTTGAATATATTACCGACAAAAATTTTTTTGTATCGCACTACTAAAATTTACTACTTAAAAAAATGTGTTTATATAATTATTATGGGTATTTTATAAATAAAAAAATTGTTATTTTCGTGGATAATTTATTCTTTTTGTGGATTTTTTGTATTATTATTGTAAGTATTTTTATTATTGTTGTGGTAATTATTTTTATTTGAAACAAAAATAATTATCACTTTTGTGGATAATTTATCATAATTACAAATATTTTTATCATTTTTGTGATAATTATTTTTACCACCTTTTTGGGTACCATAATAGTAATAAAAAAGCCTAAAATAATAATAAAAATAACCACAAAAATATAATAAATATTAAAGATGACACGTATTTGACGGCACAGTGCAATATGAATGATTTTGAAAGGAATGTTTGTGATAATTAAATGAATCTATTTAAAATAATCGGATATATTTATTAAAGTCTAACTTATTATCTATATAATAAAGTAGCTTAAAATTCAAATCTCAACAGATAAACAAAATGACTTTTACTATTCGCGGTTGAAATCGCTTTAAATTTTACTTTAAAATTAATATAACGGTTAATATTAATACCTTAAATTTCATAGGAAAAATGGGCTCCTAACAGTGTCTTTGGAGTGATTTTTTAATAGTACTTTTAAAAATTATTTTTATAAATACTTAAAAAAAATAGTGTTTGAAACCGTCTCACCACTACCTCTACCACCACACCACTCCCACCACCACCACCGCCACCACTACCACTATCGCCACCACTACCACCATCATCACCACCATCGTCGTCACTGTCGCCACCACCGTCATCGCTCCCACTGCACAACTGTTGCCACCACCTTCCCCACCGCCACCTCCACCTACATCACCATTGTCATCGTCGCTGTGACAACCACCACAATCGCTGTCGCCACCACCACCGTTGTCGTCGCCACCACCACTACGGTCATTGCCACCCACCATACACCATTACCAATCAATACTTTAATTCTTTTATCTCTTCTCTATGTTTATAATTTAATTTTAATTATTAATTATTTTTTATTATTCTGTGTCTTCAGATACAGACAATAACTAATTATTATATAAAAGAGATAGTTGTGGTACGGATACATTGGACTAGTTTCCGAGATACACAGAAAAACAGAATCCTCAGAGAGAGAGAGAGAGAGAGAGAGAGAGAGAGAGAGAGTCGTGCTTCGTTCAATTCGGACAAAATATGTGTGTCAGTTGTCCCAGCCCCAAAACATGTGAACTGAGACTAGAGAATCCGGAAATCTCAGTAAGCATCCTTTTTTATTTTGTCCGTGCGAATCTTCTTCTTAACCTTTATTTTTTGTTCATTAATTAGGAGAATTTAGGTCAATTTATGTGTAACTCGATTAATCTCTTCTTCAATTTAATTAAACGACAAATTATCTACGTTAAAACTAGAATATTCATTGGTAGAATATGTGGCTAAAATTCATCAATATTAATTAAGTCACAATTGATAGTCAAATCCGAAAATATATAAAATTTCAATCCGTTAATTAAATATTGCATTATTCATGTCATATATTATAGATATATTTTTTGTGAAATTATTATGTATTAAATATTACTTTATAATGATGCACACATACATATATTACATTGATATAATTAAATGTTTGAAATGAATATTTTCTAGTCAGTATGAGTGGCTTGATTAGAGGGACCCATCAAATAAGAAAATACTAGTCAATCCTATTTGGAGTATAATTAGCTTACATTGACTGCAGATGGTTGATGAAATACTGATAGAGTTGAATATATTTTATTAAATGGTAACGACTAATTGAATGGAGTACCAAAATCCTCCCTTATAAATAAGGTTCTATGCATACAAAGAAAATACACCAATAAAACACTCAATTTATGAGAAAATTCATTGAGAAAAAATCTCAACCCTACTACTTTTATATCAAAAAGAATTTTTAATTCTCAAATACTAACTTCTCATTCATCAAATTCTGTTTTGCTTATTTTCGCATTGGTATCAGAGCACCATACGATCAATGAATAATTCGTCATCTTTATTTTTTCTTTGGCTGTCAAATTGTTTGACCGCAAATGCCATTGAAAATTCTGACAAACAAATTAATCCCTTCACCCAACATGTCTACTACATTCTGCCACACAACATCCTTGACACGTTCCACGAAACAATCATATTTTTGTTTTGCTTGAGTTTTCCTTCCAACAGATTTTACAAAGGCCAATTACTTGAAGTTGCAAATTCACTCTGCGTTGCCTCCTCATTGTTATCAAGCTTCTTGATGCCGTCAGAGAATTTTAGAGGAACTTGATTACGGTTGCCGCTGAATTGAGCAATGAGCAATTGGTGTTGTAGTCTATTCGAAACATTCTTAGAAAAATACTTTGGTAATAAAATTAAATTAGATTAATTCTAATCAATTTTATCTAACAATTTATTTTTCTATAATTTGTCAATTTGGGGTTTAAGGCTACTAGTGTAAAACTAAGTAAAATCGAGAGACTTAATGGTACAAATTATTAAACGTGAAAACGTAGGATTCGTCACATATTATTCCAAGATAAAGTTGAATATGTCATTGACATATCGTATCCAAAAGAACCACTTCTTAGAGCTAGAGAGGTTGCTAGAAACACCTACGAAAGATTTGTAGAAAACGATAAATTGGCTAGATTAATCTTGCTCACTTTCATGAAACTCGATTTAGAGATTATTTTTGAGAAACATGAAACTGCTAACTCTATGTTTGATGTTATTATACAAACCTATGATACTGCCTCTAACACAAATATTCAACTCTTGATTGAAAAAAATAATGACAATTTTATAAAAGAGGATGAGTTTGCAGTTGAACATGTCAAGACAAACATTTTAAAAGGAACAATAAGAAATATAACAAGTTCAAGAGATATAATAATTTTAAGGAAAAACAAATAAGTATTTGTTATAACTGTGGGCAGTCCAGTCATTACAAAAGAAATTGCACACAAAAGAATAATGGTTAAAATTTTAAAGGATCAAGAGACATTGTGTGTGTATTTCTAAGTCGCTTCTTACAGATTATGTCTCTCTTGCTTATTGGATTGATTTTGCTTCATCTCGGCATGTGGCTAAGACTAGAGATAATTTCATTGGAATAAAAGAGGTGAAAATCGGCGACCACAAGTTATACATGAGGAATAATACTTACTGTGATGTGCTTGAAATTGACACTGTGATAATTTCGTTATCCGGGCAAAACAACCTCCTCTTGACTGATGTATTTTATGCGCCTAACATACTGCGTTATCTCTTGTCTGTGTCACGATTAAATGATAAGGGTTTTGAAGTTCGTTTAGGGTCTGCTAAAGTTTTTATTGGTAAACATGGTTGTATTCTTGCATGGGGGACTAAAATTGATGGTTTTTACTGTTTGAATGTTGCTAGTGACAATAATAAAATTGATTCTTCTTCTGCTTATATCGATGTATCTTGTGATGTTAATATTGATTCTATTTTATGACATATGAGATTAGGTCATATTAATTATAACAAAATGAAAAAGATAGCTAACGTTGAATTGATTTCAAATTTAGATATTGACTTGAAACCATGTGAATCTTGTATATGTGGAAAAATGACTAGAAAGTCATTTAAAAAATTAGAAAGAGCTAAAAATTTGTTAAAATTAATACATTCGGATATTTGTGGTCCTCTAAATGTTAAAACCCATCGTTGTATGGAATATTTTATTACTTTCATTGATGACTATTCAAGATATGGTTATATACATTTACTAAAGAATAGATCGGATGTGTTACAAAAATTTATTGAATTTAAGGCAAAAGTAAAAAATCAACTAGGTAGAAAAATTAAAACAT